GAATTCGAACCGGATTCGGAGTACCCCTTCAATCTGGATTTAAATTCAGGGGATGGTTTGGGCTTTGGTAGGTTGAACCGCTTATCAAAAAGTAAATACCAGACTTTTTTTTTTCAGGGTGGCTTCAGACAACTGTTGGAGAAAGCGCCCGTAGCAGCTCCTCCACCGCATATCTTCATCCGGCACTGAATTCACGAAGCAACCTGGACCTTCTTCTGAATACCCAGGTCACGCAATTATTCACTACCGGTCCTTCGAACACCACCCTCAACGGTGTCCGAGTAGCTCAAAATCAGACAGGTTTCTCATTTCATGTTTCAAATTACCTGGCGGCCACTTACCTCGTCACTAGCACTCTCATTCACCTTCACGGCGATAAAAGAAGGTGATATTTCAATCTCGCTTCTGCGTCCTGGCTTACATGTTGTATGTAGTCATCCTGTCCGCCGGGACGGTTGGAACACCTCAAATCTTATTACTTTCAGGAATCGGTCCCTCTGAAGAACTGGATAAATATGGCATCACCACTCTGGTAGATTCCCCTGACGTTGGACAAAACATGCAGGATCAACCTATACTTTTTTTGCAATGGCAAGTCAATGGGACCACACTTTCTCCATTCCTCAACGATCCGGACGCCATCAACGCCGCCCTAGCCCAGTACCAGGAAAATGGAACCGGGATCGCTGCGAGCAGTGTTCTCTTCAACACGATAGGTTTTCTGAGATTGCCTGATGGCTCACCTCTGCTCAAGGAATACGGCGACCCTCTGCAGGCCCTCAATCTGCCCACTTCCAGTTTTCCTTCATTGTTCATTTCCCTCTCTCTCTCTTCAAGTTAGAATATGCCATACTGTCACTCATACAAGAAATTTCATTCAGGATACCTTTCTGCCAAATATCGACGAGGTGGGACCAACGACAGGACAGTGGATAACTGTTTCGATTGTCCTCCAGTCCCCCACGTCACGTAAATTCAAAATGTTTCATTCTTCACAACAACTGATCAGCTGAACTATATTCTAGGTGGATCGGTGACACTTGCCAGTAACTCAGCTTTCGACCACCCTTTTATAGATCCTGGTTCTTGATGTCTGCTTTCGACATTGGCACAGTGATAGAAGCGTTCAAAACATTACAAACGTTCCTCACCACCTCGTCATGGACAGGATTCGTTGGCTCGCCATTCACCACCAACCTGACTACCGATGCTGAAATTGAAGCCTACATGCGAGCGGCAGTAGTCACGCTGAAACATCCCGTTGGTACTGCAGCAATATCCCGGGCTACAGAAAAGGGTGGTGTTGTGTGTCCGCATTTACAGGTCAAGGGGATCGAAGGCGTGAGAGTTGTTGATGCATCAATTTTTGTGCGTTGAATGACCTCATCCTCCAAGTTTCCTACTGAGATAGTGCTTCAGCCGTATGCAGTGGGAGGATTTCCACAGGCTGAGGTCTACATTGTTGCTGAGCGTGCTGCTCAACTGATCAAAGAGACCTGGGGCATACTTTGAATTTCGTTTCTCAAATTGATGTTTCATACCCCCTCGAATTTTGCCGCTTATGTAACGATCCCACGCACCTTATATGGTAAGAGCTGCAGGAACAAACAAGATTACATATGACAGCATAGGGCCTCATTGGTTGTTGTTGAGTTGTTCCACACTGGGGAGTGAGTTTTCAGGTACAGTCACGGCGAAATTAGATGCAAGACCCCATTTGGGTGACATTGGTTACAATAGAAATGCCGCAATGTCTCACTGCCTGTCATGTCATTCATTTCCCATCAAAACCTGTCTACTACACGATCTTTGATCCCAAGGGGTTCGGGCCGGTCAAGCCGGGCACCGGAGGCAGGTAGGGTCGGCTGTGAGGCCGAAAAAAAAAAGTGCATCCCCATCAAAGTTTCCCAAATTGAGTGCAAATGAGCTCAGATGAGTTCAAAATGTACTCAAACTATGCTCCCTTGCTTCCAAGTATCCTCCCCCTTCACCACTACTGTTTCGTTCCATGGTAGGATGATCTGGATCAGCTTCTGCCACTTAGGGCAATCAATGTTGGTCATATTTGGCTATGATGTCCCTTACATTAGTGGAATAAATTGTGTACATGAGTGGCCCGAGGGCTCAAAGATGCATCCTTGATAGTGTTCCATGTTGAGAAACAGGCTGAAGTACAGATTGAGCCTTTTCTCTCGACGTCAAGCACCAGGTCACGCGGAGAATTACCCGATTTGGACGTCACGTGGGAGGTAGATCCAATACAGCCATTGAATGCAATAAGTTGTAGGTAGGACAACCCAAACTATCTAGTATTAAATCCAGTGTGGAAGAGGGATATGCCCAGCCTGTAGGTTCTTGGAATGGGTCGGTGGTCCATCTAGAGGTCGAGTGCATGTTGGGGATTAAATTCGGCAACTGGTCCCAAGCGGTAGAGTATGAAAAGGGTGAGAAAAGAGTGTAATAATGTCGTCCGAAGAGGGTGAGGTTGTAAGAAGTGATTCGAGGGGTTCTGGTGGCTAAGGAGCCCACTGGCGGCATTACGAAAGTAGGGGGCAAGGAGCTCCGACACTTTCTCTAGGCATTTACCCTGCACTGGCTGCGGCTGTCATGGTATGAGTGTAAAATTGCACGGTAGGTCCGTCTTTACGGTACAAACAATAATGTAACTGAAAATAAAAATAGCAACATGATAGAACTGAAATCAGTGTGTGGATAAATTTCCACACACCAGCCATCTGACCCTACCACACCAGTAAAAATTATTCAGCTCCAACTGCTCCAAACGATGAGGAAAAGGCTGGTAAAGAGTAATAATATACTGAAGGAAGTCTGCAGACAACCTGATCTCGCGGGCTAATTGAATGAGGGCTTCCAGAATAGCAAGGGTGGTTCCGAACTTTGCACTTCAGCTGCGCCCACACATTCTCGATCGGCAACAAGTCTGGAGATTTTGCTAGCCATGGAATCACAGTGATGTTATTGTGGCAGTCTTGCCCGCCAGAGTTCGTTGTGCTGTGGAAATGTGCAAGAGCAGGAGCAGTCCGTAGAGAAAACTTTGGAGGACAAGGTTGGCAGGAACAGCTGTGATGCCCTGCATCATGTGGGGGATGAATTCTGTGTTACAATGCAGTCAAAGGACCCCTGATATATGTGAGAACCTTTTTCGCGGAACAAAGTAATGACAGTTCAGGAGGGCTTCCACAATTGGGGCAGTGCGGCCTGTAAGATCACCCCATGCTCATGGTGAGGTTGCACTTATTCAAATCAGCTGCATTATGGTGTAATTTCTCCCTTCTGTATCTTGTGTTCGGTGATGCAGTGAGGAGCATTGGCGTTTGAAAGGCAGTCAGATGCTTCACGCCGTCACACTGTGAATAACACCTATCAGCTTGTGACTTAGGCAGGTTTGACAGAGAAGTTTGTGTGGGAGCAACAATTTCCACCAAACATGTGCCAATATCCAGCCAGCTGATGGAGCTGAACATCTAAAAGGATGGTACTCGAGCTTGGTAAAACTTTCTGGGATTTGCAGGTTAGCTTCCTTGATTATGAAATGGGCAAACAAAATGACCTGTTTCCTCCTTAGTAGGTCTATCAGGGTTGACAGAGTTTAATTGCAGCAGACCCTGCATCCAGAAGCATCTGAATGATCATCTCCTGCAGCTGTAAACACGAATGACCCTGTAAATCCACCAGCAGCCTACATCCACCTGAATTATCAAAGCAAAGCCTTGTATGAGTTGAAGATAATTATTTCAGGCCATGATCTATGCATCTCGCCTTTGGCATGGATGCTGAAACCCTAACCACACCTAGTAGCTCTGTGTAAAGTCCATATTTTTTAGAGTTCACACTTTTGCACAGGGCAGCATTCAATATATAGTAGTAGTCACATATTGTATTGTTGATACCATTCATATCTCCTAGACAGGTGTTGGGTTGACATATCTTTTCCGGATTTAAAGTCAATCAACCATAAGCAGACCTTCAAAAACTCCACTAGAGCTATGTGCTTCACAAAATAGGGGCAGTCAGAATAGCTTTTGGAGGGCGATTCTGGGGGTCGATTCTGAAAGCGATTCTGAAAATTGATTTCATCAGAATCGACTGTCAGAATCGCCTCAGTTTTGACCGCCCCGCTTAGAAAAACGATTCTCTAAAAATAGGTGAATTTCGCAGCCAAGAATCGGAATCGGAATCGAGAATCGCATCCAGAAGCTCCTCTGGAGGAGATTCTGTTTCACTTCTCAAAGTCGATTCTGGTTTAATGTGCTTCTCCCACGCTTTATTTAAATCAGAATTGACTTCGAGAATCGACCCCAGAATCGACCCTCAGAAATCTATTCTGACTGCCCCTAATATCAAAGCCCTCCAATTTGAGACAGGTTGGACCCCAAATCCCAACTGTTCAAATCTCTATAGAAACTGAGGAGTAATTAGTTCCCCTGTGTGTTATCAAGTGCTGGATTAAGCCTGTGGCCTAACCTTCTTTCAACTTACTTTTTTATTGATGTTTCACAAATCTGATGCATTTTGGTGAAGGAATTACCTGGTAAAGACAATATCACTTGACAGCCTCGTACCTGTGTAAGAATTGATTACATATATACCAGTCTTGTGCAGAAGGTCCAGAATCAGAGGTTTGCTTACAGAATTGTCAGTTCTGTTCTGGTTCCACCACTCTAGGACTTGGCACTTATCACCTGCATTGCAGAATATTACTTGTAAATAGGGACCACAGAGGAAATATCTATGTGAGTGTTACGTTGACACAGTTGAAACTCACCACACACCCTCCTTCAACTCGAAATGTCTGTGCAGTTGTGTCATGAATTCAATTTATTTCTGCTGCTCCCTGCTCCCCCAATCGACTTGACACAACCTCTATAAATGTCCATGTAAGTCTATAAGCCCTGAACACAAATGGTGTGTGTTGCTTCAAGACCCCCGGTTTATACCTGGTTGACCGAGATGGGATTGGAAGACGGAACATAGACAATGCCCGCCTAGCTCAATCGGATAGAGCGTCAGACTTTTATAAAGGGCGGGATCTGAAGGCTGCGAGTTCGACCCTCGCGGTGGGCTATTCGCTTTTGTTCTGCCGTTGAACATTAGGTTTTGCTCTTCCGCAGGGTGCATGCCGCGCTGGGCCACTGTTCTCTTTTGTTCTTGTACTGTTTTTTTTTTGCCACGCAGCACGTAGATGGGCCCAATCTGACGATCTATACCATGATTGGCAACCTTCACCGACTCAAAAACATAGCAGAACCTCGCTGTAATAATACAATGTTTAGTGTGGTCTCTCACAAAGTACAAGAGTAAACATTTTTTGCACCACCGGGACACGGCCATGAAATTGGCGAGAATACGCCACGATGCCCAGGAAACCTCTAGACAGAGGCCACCGTGCCAAAAATGACCACCGCAGGGGTCGAACCTGCAATCTCCTGATCACGTTGAATTCGCTTCCATCATCGTAGTCAGACGCGATGCCATTTCGCCAGGCGGCCGTTGATTGAGCGGAGTTGCTGTGGCATATCTCGAGGACCCATTGAACTTCAACTCGGATGACCGTAAACAAAATGAGGGAAGAATTTGTGCCAGTCCAAAACAATGTACTTACTTCAACGCCACTACCGATCCAGCGGGAACGGTAGCAGCCGCAGAACTTTAAAGGCGCAACGCTAACATGTTTGTATGCAAATACCTCCACTCGAAACTTTACGGGCGCCGAGTGTCTCAGAACACGACGCGGAGAGTGATAGTGTGTATTTTGAAGAAATGGTCTGGGAAAACCGGACATGTTTCCCCAGATGCATATCGACATCGTCCTCGAGGTTTGTTGCGCCGGCCTTAACACAGTTCTGATAGCTGCATGCTAGGTTTCGGGACACTTACCACTCGACTTCTTCCATCTCTCCACCACCTGTAAGTTCAGAGCGCTACTCCCCGGCCCTGCGTTGGACACACTCTGGCGTGAGTCCTTTATCGAACCGTGCCCGAACGATATCGCGGGCTAGCGTTGGGCCTTCACCAGCTACAGTAACCCTCCGACTGTCCATAACCTCATTATGGCCACAGCGCGTGCCAGTACGTCTTTGCGTTCGTTCCTTTGGCCTTGAGATACTTACGGTCTGCGGGAATGAACGGTTCGCGGCACCGGATCACGGTGACGGATGAGCACAAGCCTCGAGAAGAACAGCTGTTACAGAACAAAGCTCTCGGAGGTCTTGCGGCACTCGCGGCATTTGTTCAAACCAGATCTGAAATAGTGCGGGAAAGACAAACGGTGAGCGGTACTGTTGAGGACTCCAGGGTAAGGATCGAGGCAGTTGACTTGCAGATAGGGGTTAGTGGTACAAAGCGAGGCCTGGGAGGGAGGGGTAATCAAACAGCGCTAAGCTCGGGAGACTGAGAACCTCAAGAAAGTGCGTTATTATATTCCCTTCATCTTTTCGAAATGCTAAGAGATCCGCTCTGCATATATAGGGCCGAGAAACGGCTCCGGAACAAAGGTCGCGATTTGCAGGATACTCGGCAAGTGCAGTAGCTAACCAGCAGGGTTACAATCCAGTCCGAGATACTCCGGCTCTCGAAGCGTGCACAGTCGTACGTTCACCGCGGTAAACTGACTCCAGATTGGAATAACGCACGCAGGGAAACCATCCCCGGCGTTCTTGAGGCCCTTGATTCCGAGCGCCATGCACGCCGTGAAGTCGTTTAGAACGGCATATTGGACACTATGCGTGCCAAAAAGCTTCTACGTAGGCCTATGGCCGCTGCCCGCAACATCTACGACATCCCGGATGTTCCCTAATTCAAGCAACTGATATTTCACAACCTCGATGCACTTCTCGCGCGGGACGATCTGATTACTCGCGGGGCTCCCTGCAATGCTGGACGCCTGGTCCGTTGCGGAATAGATCTCGCTTTCCGAAAACGTTTCCACGGCTATCTTGAATCCACACAACAACATCATGCGGTGCTTGAGCTGGCGAAGAGTGTTTTCGCTGCCGCGGCAGACTAAGTATCGTGCAGAATTGCCTCGCCGGTTGGAAGGACGTCAGTGCGCGTTGGAGTTATTCCAAGTGTCGTGTGTCCCGGGTTACGTTCGCTGAACTAGTACTGCCGAGCACTGGCGCGTGCGTACTCGTGCAGCTGGTCGGACTGGATCTGCGGACGACGACCGCCGACCACATGGATACGCTCGACCCCCGGTTCGTCTGCGATGATTGCTCGCCCAAGGCGAACGAGACGTCAGGGGGTGGCGTCTCCGAGTTCATCTTTCTTCATTCCGGGTATGTTGAACATACCCTGAATTCTCTCCTATTCAGCTCCAGCATGCACTGGACCTTAAACCCACAGAGACTGGTCCACTTCGCCACATCTCATCCCGGACGCTCCTTCCCAGATAGCCGCCAAGGAGGGCTAGCGGCGGCAGGGCAATGACTCCCGCTACGTGGACTCAATCTGGGTCTGAAATCTCTACCTTGCGCATTGCATCGGCTACCTTGCCCGCGTCGACATAGTCTATATATTTGCTCAGTGCGTCTCCTTTGCATTCATTCCTTCTCCGACCTGCGATGAAAATTCTGATGACAACTAGTAACTAACTTGTCGCCTGCCCAATCAGACACAATATTGATATCCCCACGGGAATTTACTCGAGGGTTTGCATTTCATCCACCACGCTGGCGAGGAGCGCTCCCCCCGCTGCGCGTTTTCCTGTCCCGTGGAACACTCGCGACATAGTTCCCCTGCAATCGGTGTACCGTAGACGCGCCTCGTACTGGCACTGTCAAATTACGGTCTCTGCGCGCTACGGTGGCACACGTACGAGCCAAGTGCGTACCCATAGGCTCTTTTTAGACCATTCATGACTTGGAGGCTTACTTATATGGTTGAAATTTCATCCAAATACAAAAACTGCCTCTACTGTTTCAATCAGATGTAAGTATGTGTGAATGAATCTCAACGTAGAGCCGATTAATCCCTGCTGTTTAAGGTTCGACCTTTTGATGAATCAACCGTCAAATTCCTTTTTTATTGACCATATCTAGAAAGATTGAGGGATTGCGTTATTCAAAGAAAGCGTATTGGGAGCGAATAGGTCGCGCTCTACGTTCTCTTGAAATCTCAACGCTGAGCCAGCACTCGAATAAAACTCTCGGTCGTCGTCGTGGGCAACCGTCAGTGTTGTCGCTCTTGATTTCGGCAGTTCATTCTTCAAAGCATCTAGCCGTGGTTGCGCGTTATTGCTGGTTATAGTGGGCTTCATCATAAATTTCACCGATGCCGATGCTTCTGGAAGGACACAAGCAAAGTGTGAGACATTTGGTGGCATTTTCAGAACTTCTGATCGGTTCAAAATTTATCTGCATCTTACTATTGTTCCCGTTCGGGTTTACTGCATTCTTGGCGGCAGAAGCCCCAGGGTATTCAGTTGTCGCTGTCCCCGGAGTGCCCAGAGCGGAGGGGCACATATAACGACCTTCTGTTCTACTCGATGCTTCCACGGTGACCGCTCCGACGAGCCGGAGCAAACCGTGCAGCTGTACACTAATGAACGAAGGCTCTGCAGTACTGGGCACTGGGACTACCTCCCAATCCAGGACGTCGACGTTCTCCTGTTAACCTTCATTCAATCCTCGCCCTGACCCCGGTCTGCAAGCCTCCCTCAGTTTCTCGTGTCTTTACTCTTGGGCATCTCCTGGGAAATTACTCGCCGAAGCCCAGTGCTCGTCCTTGATTCGCCCACCGGTTCGAATTCAGCATGCCGAGTGACACCCTGCACGACGCACTCTATCTCGGTGACTTATTTTACGCGAGCGATTTTTGGTGGGACCATGTGCGCCGCACACCATGAGGTTACCATGCGACTGGGATCGGGTTTAGCCCTAAGGACGTAGACTGACGTGGATATCTTTGCGGGCGTGGACAAGCGCGACTTGATTATGATCTAGCACAATACTCATGATGAGCCAGCAACGGCCGTCGCTGCCGGTCCGCGTGAAGATCATAGGTAGTCGATGACCAAGTGTTATCAACGGGAGAAGACAGCTTGTGCTATCAACGGATGCTCGTTACCAAGGTTCCGTCTGTGACGGACTCCTTGACGCCAAAATACACTTGACTACATTCCAATAGGGAATCCGGACACTAGTTCCATCGCTCTGTGAAAATCCAGTAGTGCATGACTTTCGAAGCCTGTCGTCTCTCCAGCCGCGACAGGCGTCCAAGGCTCTAGCCATCGAATGTCCGCTGCTTTCCAGCGAGACCATCATCTCAACATAGTGCACGGTGTCATTCACTCAACTGAAACAGCCTGTCTTTCTTTCGGCATGTGCAACAAGCAGCAGAGAAGTAGCGGAGTTTGAGCTTCAGATCAATTACAACAACAGATACACGTAATTTTATGAAGAGGACGATAATTCAATGCAATTCAATGCAAGGCCAATACATAGTACTGTGTTGATTCGCTCATTTATTACAGTTGTTTGTTCCATTATACATCATACAACACTACATGCTGGAGTTTGCTTAATGAATACGAGACTGTAGTTGAACTGTGGCCATGTGATCTGAGCAAATCTCCGCTCGGGACAGCCGAACAGTTAGAATTCTCTTCGGTGCCTTAGGAAAGCTCCATGAGAATACACGTTCTGAATAGACCGGAAATTTTGTATGAAATTAATCCCATACTGAGATTTGTTGCGGAATTGGAAATTGGAAAGAAGGTCGGCGAGCTTCGGTACTTGTTTATTTCGGGGAAACTGCAACCTCATCGCGATTGATGCATTGAGGTCTATGTATTTCCTGGCATCCAACGGATGTGTAATTGCGGCGGCACTGCAGGGCAGGGAGCACCATCCAGACGAAAGGGTCAGGATGAAGCAAAGCGCACTAATGAAATGCAGCCGCAAAAGGAGGATGATAGAGGCATATCTTCGAAGTCAATTCGAAGACCGACTTCCTGCTATCGTGGACCATGTTGTATTAGGAGCCGAAAGGCTGGATCTTGGCGGCGGATAAGGGACAAGAGTGGGACGGGTGACATAAATTTATAGCGAATAGTGACCATAGTGAAGGAACAGATACGGCGACGACTCTTCACATATTTGCGTCAAAACCCATGGGATCCCTCTCGTGTCAAGCCTGTCACGAGCCAGGGCAGAATCGCGTGAAAGCGATGCGCATGAGAATATTTCGCAGAGCGGCACCCGGTAGCACTCGTCTGAGCGGGAATAGAATGGCCCCGTCCTTTTCCAGGCCATGCGACTTCGACTGAAGTCGTGCTATCTCGCTGTCGAGATGCCAAACGCGTGCTGGTTCGCGATATGTAGGACCGATTTAACAAAGATCAAGTCAGAGTCCAGTGGATTCCAGGAGCGCACAGTGATGGGAATTCGACTGAGAAGGATAGAATTATAGCTGATATAACTGCGCACGAACTAAATCTGGGATGCAGTACGTGTGGTGACAGTGGAAGATTGGTGGCAATTTAGTGGTG